AAAAAAAAAAAAAAAAAAGTAAGGTACCATAGTAAAGCTCCAAGGTATCTGCGTATATTTTCCGTGTGGTCACAAGCAGCCAATGAATGATAAGATACTTTTCAATATGCATATTGGAGGAAGAAAATGCAGACATGTTCAGTGTTTTCTATGGGATTATTTCTTAATTGCATTTCCAGATGGATGTTCAAGACCAGTGTAGCAGAATCCCAGAATGCTAAGACTTCCCCATTTCCTACCATTTTCCTTTCTAAGACATCAAGCAATACACTGACGTAAGACCTGAAAGAAATTTCTGGAGAGACCGCTTGGATAACAAGATATTACAGCCCACAACTGAAGCTAGCAAATTGTTTATTTGTGGAGGTGACATCAGTTTCTGGACTTACTAGGCTCTGTCTGAGAAAAGGCAAGTTCAATGTGTACCACAGAGACACCTGTCACTGTCTTCTCAGATTAGATGGGAGGACTTTAAGAAGGATTGAAGCTATTGCTCAATTTGGCTTAAAAAAAATTGTTCAAAGTACCTTAGATTAATGAAAAGAAGAGAGCATCAGAACCTCTATCCCTAACTCAAATATCCAAAGAGATGCTTCTCTTGTCATTTTACACATCCAAAAATAAGTTACTAGTTCTTAAATACTTCATTCAAAAAACGATTTCACTAGAGAAGGAAATTAACATTAAGTGAGCAATTATTTTGCCAAGCACTGTGCTAGATCTACTCACTATCACATTTAATTCCCACAACAACAATATGAGATCAATATTGTTGTCTCTACTTTGCAGTTCAGAAAAGTGAGGTTTAGAGAAAGTAAATAATATGCCCCAAATCATGAAACTGGTAGGTATGGAGCTGAGGTTCAAATTCAGGCCAATATAATCCCACTGCCGATGCTCCAGCCATTGTACTCCCCCCTAGGGAGTTTGTTACAATTTATTCATTACCATAATCTCTACCTGATGATAAAAGCATATTCTTCATTGCAGTGCAATTAAAACCAGATTATAGCTCAGCTTTGGATCATCTATAGGTCAAAGGATGATCTCCAAAACACAGCAACATGGTTAAATTTCAAGACAAATGTGGTGCCAACTCAGACCATCCTTCAGAACAAAGAGGGAGGTTGGGCATGATTTTGTTTTCAAATAGAAGGAAACTGAAGCCTAAAGAAAATTATTCCTTGAATCTCAGTGTTATCTTTATTTGGGGGGGGGTGGTAAGGATGGAGGTATTCTGGTAAAGAAAAATAGTGATTTTTTTTCCATCATTCTTAGAAGTGGCCATAGAATTGTGCCTCCCTTCTCTGGACAGTGTGTGCTAAACCAGCTCGACCCAACTACTGCCTCCAATAGGCAGAGAGAATTTAGAAACCAAGTTCCAGGAAAGGAATCTGCATAAAATAGAATCAGCCTACCCATTGCCCCCACGCTGAGGCCTAAGGCCCACAAACGAACATTATAAAGAGATGCTCCTTTTAACACCTACCTTACCCCAAAGTCTCTTGCCCAACTTTTGCATTAATAGAGATATCAAGAGAAATGTTTGTCACGGCTATTCTTACACAGGGCTTTTTTTGGCTTCTGTGAAAATAGAAGCACCACGAATTACATGCTCCAACATGTCCACATTCTTGGCAAAACAACAGAAAAATCTAGGGGGTCAAATTGGTGAGAGAATATCTGCCAGATAGCTACTTTATAGCTCCATTTTATAACAACACAAGAATGTGTAATGGAGATCAGAAAGTCAGAACCGACTTTACAAGGTTGTCCTATAGCCACGTTATGGCAACCTCGCAAACCAGAAACAAACAAAAAAAAAACCCTCTACTTGTCAAAGTAATTTAAGCAGTCCATAGTAATTTAAGCAGTCCCCCCAAAAGCTATCAGGGAAAGAAAGCTACCAAGATGCAGAATCCGAGATCGAGGTGGAAATAGCAAATTGGTTCAGACCAAAATTTGACCTCAGGTTTCTCATCTCTAAAGTGGAGATATTATTGTTAGCTTACACAATCACGGCAAGGCTCACATGAGATTATTTGCGTGGAAGCGTCACTTGCCCAGCAATACGCAATGTGCACAGTGGGATTTATATCTGAGTCTTATGCAAAGAGTAGGGATGGCAATAATCACCTGGCATTCTTTATCTTTCATTTGGCAAGTTTTAAAGGCTCCTGTGGAGATAATCAAGTCAGTTTATCCTCAAGCAAATAGTGACAACCACAAGGCACTTCGCGTAGCTTTGTCACCTAACTTTTATTCTTCTGCAGAGGATCATGATGGTCGGTACAATTCCAAGAGCCATTACTATGTGTGGAGAGCACATGACACTGACTCTGAAGAGGGCCTGCTCCACAGAACGGATTGCTCCTTTCCTACATAAAACATTTTCATCGCTTTCAATACAGAGACTTCCTGCGGCAGAATGGCTTAAATTTATAGGCTTATGCTAAGCATGGAAAGAAGAATCTGCTTTAAGACGTCGTTTTCTGTGTTAGCTTTCCCCTCTCAATCCCCACCGTTCGTTTTTGAGCCAATCATGCCCTGGAGTATAGAATAAAGGTAGCAGGCTACCGCCCCAGACCGAGGCGACCCTAACCAAATGGCTTGACAATTGGTAAATGTTTATAACAAACTTGGTCATATCCTTCACACAACAAACAAGCACTTACTTAAGTGATTTAAGGTGTGAAGCTGGGAATGTTCCCTCCAGTCATGAAGACAGTAAAGCAATACCATATTTTAAGGGTAGGGGACGGGGGGGATCAAAACCTATGAGCCAGAAAGCAGCCTCTCAACTGCTTATCTTGTTAAGGATCAGTGAAGATGAAATAGTCTCATTGGATTAAAATAATTAAATAGACCTAATTTCTCGGGGTACCTGGGTGGCTCAGTTGTTAAGCGTCTGCCTTCAGCTCAGGTCATGATCCCAGGGTCCTGGGACTGAGCTCCGCATCGGGCTCCCTGCTCGGCGGGAAGCCTGCTTCTCCCTCTCCCACTCCCCCTGCTTGTGTTCCCTCTCTCGCTGTGTCTGTCAAATAAATAAATAAAATCTTTAAAAATAAATCAATAAATAGACCTAATTTCTAATATATATGTCAAATGGAATTAAAACCATAAAATCCAAATGGATCTTGAGATGCTCTAACAGAAAAATTGTCTGGAGAATTGCCAGGGGCGCTATGAATCCTGTAAAGAACAATCCATGAACCAGGGAAGACCATTAATGTTCCCAAAGGAAAAAAAAAAAAATTTGTCAATACAAAAAAAGTAGAATTCACGACCCATTGTTTGATGGAAGAACCAGAATATTTTACCAGTAAAATAAAGGAGGGGAAAAAAAAAAACTGGGACTGGGGGGGGGGGAATCTAGTTTTTACCTTATCATCCCAACTATACCCCCAGCAGCCCATTAGTGGGGACAGAATCGAAGTGGGGAAAGTAGTGTGTGTGGTGGAGCATGCCAGACAGAAGAACACAGTGAGAGCTGAGTCTTTCTCCATGGTGAGAAAAAGCGATATTCAGGATATGGTTAGCTATCAGGAGCTGGGGGAACTGGGTTGAAGACCTGCATGGGGTGCAGGAGAAGGAGGAGATAAGACGGCCGATAGCACAGAGGAAACTTTAGGGGCGAACAGAGCTGTCCTTTGACATCTGGGTGGTGATCAGCATAACCCTCCCACCTGCGGGCTACTCTTCAGTAATCTCTGCATAACTGACACTGGTCTGTTGAGCGGGCTTTCTGGTGGAGGACTGTGACAATGCCCCGGACCGTGGTAAGAGGTAGGAAGGAGGACTCCTCCAAGAAGCCTAATCACACCTGAGTCATGTTGGGTTGATTTTTTTTTTTTTTTTAGAGACCACTCTAGTACTGGAACACAGGCTCTTCCAATCTGACCTGGCTACTTCCAGGTTTTTAACTCAGTGCACTGGGCACTGAGATCAGAACTGGAACCCACCATAAAGGACATTGTTTTGGATTGCACAAGGGCTCATTCTTGGTTCTTCCCACCTCTGTCAATGGCCGTTCAGGACTGGGGGTCCCACATGTGAATGACTTCAGGATACCAGTCACACCCACAAATGGGAAGAACTGCTGGGTGGAAGACAATGGGGGACATAAGGCCTGGTGGGAAGTAGAGGTTGCAGACCCCTCCCAAAGGTTTTCAAAAATCAATACTTAGAGGGGGAAAAAAAAAGTAGTGACTAAATAAATGTCTGTGTGCAGGATTCAACACCCCTATTACATTTGTCTAAGTGTGACTGCAAAGTGAGATACTCAGGAGCACATCTGGCCCACGGCCAGTATCCAGGTCTTCAGACAGAACATCTTCCTAAAGCCATCTTTGCCTGGAATCCCCATATATCATCTAAAGAAAGTTGAAATGTCATAAATTAGCTCCTTTCAAATGATTCTGGTGTACTGAAATGGGATCTCTTTGATAGGTCATCTGTAAACTACACACACAAAATAGTTTTCTCGCAGATCAAACCAGACAGTATTCAGAATGTTTAACTTAAAATAATTGTATTCTACTGAAAGCTGTCAGAGGACTGGGGAGGGGTTGGGGTGAGGAAGGAAAAGAAGATTACTCTGAAGCCCCCTCTCCAGCCCCACCCCCGCCCAGCACAAGTCACCTCTGCACAGTTTACCACTAAATCACTCATTCAACATGGGCCACAAGCGCAATGGCACAGAGACATTCTCAGGGAAGGAAGGCAGGGACCAGCCCTGTTCCCACGCTCCAGAACTCCTGATAAATAGGAGCTTGCTTATGCTGTAAATTCTGGATATTCTGGTGTTATAGCCAGATACGTAGACAGGGATATCACATGCGAGTTACAGGACTTTGGAGCTCTAGAAACGGAATCCTTGATGACTTGAAAACTCCCCGCTCTGTCTCCAAGTCAGTCTTTTCTCAATGACGTCACTTGTGCATTCACTGTATCTTGTGAAGCTAAAGAGGAAAAAGGAAAGACTCTGGATATATCCTTACCTGTAGCTGCTGGTCTAATTCTGGAAAGACCAGAGGAATGGCATCTTCAGGAGGTGTATCATCTAGAACATGAAAATAAAAGGATTCTTCACTATAGAGCTCTTTCTCTCCTGGGAGGCGTCCTGCTCTCACCATCTTTGGATTTATACAATTAAATCATCAGTATATACTGCTTTAATTATTCTCATCACTTCAGGTGGGGACACAGAGGATACAGAAGACAATCTTGTTCATTTTTGGTACAAAACGGAAGCCTGGAGAGCATAGCTGGCCTGGCCAAAATTTTGCAAATATCAGAATCCTCAACTGTTCAGTCTGGTAGCTCTACAATTAAGAAGCACAATATTCTCATGGTAGCCAAACCCAGATTCCCTGGTGTGCAGGAAAGTGCTTTAACAAGGCGCTAATGAGGTGATCAGAACAACCTCAATGGGACAGAAGAATGTGTTAGTGAAAAATAGAAGCTCTGCTCTGAATGACTCCAATGGGGGCAAGCTTTGGTGTCCTTACCACAAATCACCACCACCAGGCAGTTACCCAGAGCCTCGTTCTGGGTTCCGGTGAGCAACAGGCAGCAACCCAGTCAGGGGGTTCTTCCCCGCACGGCAGGCAGCAGTCCCCACCTGAGGCCGCGTGCACTGCCTTGATGTGGAGGAACCCGAGCGAAGACAGCCATGGCCACTCTGTCCCCAAATGCCTTACACTGACTGACTGGCAATAGGCAGGTGTCGCTGGATCAGAAGATGGTCTCAGAAGCATCCGAGGAAACCTGAGAGGAGTTTGGCCTAAAATATCCAAGTCACCCCCAAATGTCTTCGAGAACATACTGTGACCCAGCCACACAACTAGAGCACAGCCCCTTGTCAGCAGAACCTCATATGTCCAGGCGGGCTCTGGTGCTGCTGGGCCATCCATTCCCACCCCCTCCATGTTGGCAACACCTACCCCGGGACAGATGACTATGAGGATAAGACAAAAGACAAGTGAAAGAATTGTTTAAAAACCAAATCTGTTTTACACTATAACAAAGAAAGGAAAGTTCATGGCTTTCATGTTCTCACTATCATAACCAAATCTATTTATAAAAATGTGCTGTTCTGTTTGAACAAGAGCATGTGCTATGGGCCATATCCGACGCCAAAGCAAGTCTCCTCTCCCTACTCCTCGACAGCATAGTCCAGAATAACACACAGCATGCACGGAGCTCCTGGCTTCTAAGGCAGTACAATTCTTTGAAGGCACCAAAGATAATTACCAGGAAGGTAATTCAAACAAGGACAGTATTTGCCTCTGCCAAACACCTCAAGGGTCACAGCAGTTAATAGCTTCTGGTATATTTTAGTCAAGAGTAGTATAATAATACTCCCATTTAAAAGTGGCTTAAGACAGTGATAAAGCATCGCCCAATTTGCATGCAATTTTTCCTGTGCCTATGCCAGACTATGGATGCCCACAGGTTCACTAACTCTGTTCTGCTTCACACAGCAAGTAGAAATGGGGAAAATCTCCCCAAGACCTTGCTGCAGGCTGCAGGACTGAATCAAGAGGACCCAAGGAGATCTGATCCCCAGGCCCTCTGAGGGCTCTCTTCCTACTCAGAATGACAACTTCTGTCGGGTACTGTGGCTCTTCAAGTCCACCGCTTCATCTGCAAAGAGTTGGCCAAAAGACAGACATATTCACTTGTTGCTACTGACCCTTTACAGGTAGCCTTCATTATGAAACCTGTAGTTTGTAAAACTGATGTGAGTCTAAGGCACATTTAAGTGTACCTCAATAAAATATCAATAAGCCAGACATCATGATTATGTCAGTTCATTGTGTCTGAGGCCAGAACAACTTGGCACAGGTAAATGGGAACATATTATACTTTGGCATCCCACCCCTAATAATCACAGATGAACAGGCACTTGTTAGAAGGAGAAACCACTTCTGTAAAGTACCAGAATAGATAGTGCCTTCCAGAATCCTAAAAGTCAGCCAGGAAGGGAGCTCAAGGCTTCCTGGGATTTAATCCACCTTACTGCCTGTGAAGTCACACTCCTTCCTGCTTAATTATAAAAAAGAAGAAGCAAGTTACTCAATGGCTTCACTGTAGTAAAGTAAATAGCCAATACAAGGTATGCCCCAGAATTAATACAGTGCATTGTAGAAATCTACATCATCACCTATAGTCAAACCGTGGCACTTATAGGTAAGCATGCTGATAATTTTGTGGACAAGGCTGAAGATTGGATCTCTTGAGTTAAAAAAAAAAAAAAAAAGTCTAACTCACTGACATAGAAACATGTAACGAGGGGGCACCTGGGTGGCTCAGTCGTTAAGCATCTGCCTTCAGTTCAGGTCATGATCCCAGGGTCCTGGGATCGAGCCCCACATCGGGCTCCCTGCTCAGCGGGAAGCCTGCTTCTCCCTCTCCCCGCTCCCCCTGCTTGTGTTCCCTCTCTCACTGTCTCTCTCTCTCTCTCTGTGTCAATTAAATAAATAAATAAATAAAATATTTTTTAAAAAAAAGAAACATGCAATGGATGTTGTAATGACAAGCAAAATAAAGATAAGACTTTGGTTAAAGAATGGTTCACGTTGGCTTAATCCAAGCGGGAAACGGCAGCAGAAATAAGAAAACCGAAGACAGATGTAAGGAGACAACCGAGAGTCTGAAAAGCCAGGCCTGCCTTCCACTGCCTGATGCCATCTGCTTCGTCTGGCATCCCTGCCGGCCAGAAATTTCAGGGCTTGCAAAGCTGCTTACAAAGCTGCTCTGAGTTGATGTGCGGTGTGTTTTCTTTTAAACAGTGGCTGCCTTCTTTGACTGGTTTTAAAAATAGGCAAGTATTCTAAAAGCAGAATGATGAATCACAGGATTGGGCCAAAAGGAAAGAAGGAAAATGATTCAGACAGACTAGTAGCACAGCTGTTCCTCCAACATTTGGCCAAATCGTTGTAAAACATTTTGACAGTGACATTGGATCGGCGTTCCTGAGAGCAGTTAGGTTTGTTTTGACAATTCAGAAGCACAAAGTGGATTGTACAGTAGCTATACAAGAGAAGAGACCTTCTCTCTGGCAAATTTGGCTTTTTTTTTTTTTTAAAGGAGAGCAGTTACCAGATATGCTTATAAAATGACAAAATCAGAATGCAAGTACATTTTTATTAAAATATATTTATTTACCAAATAGTCATTGAATGCCTTTGATGTGCGAGGCAGGGACTCGGGCTCTTGCTAAATTGGCAAATTTGTCATGTTTTTTTCATGTATTATTATTAAAAAAAAATTCTTCAACTTCATTTTTCAAAATGCCACTGTGGGCTTTAGTGGTCCAAGCAAAATGTATCCTAAGGAATTTTTAAAGAACGGAATATAAAGGAAAGAATTTAAAGGGTTGTTTTGGGGGGGTTGTTGTTTTTTTGATAAGCAGATGTTCGCTGCCTGTTTTGCAAAACACAACGTGACTAAGTCAATGGTACTTAAGATAGAACTTTCTTATTGGTATCCCAACCACTATGACATGCCATAGTACATAGTCTCAGCAACCCTGGAACAGCTGTTGAGTTGCTTTTGTGGTTATTCTGTTTCAGATTTCCTGAAATTGTCTTCTCTCTGTTTCCCTGTGAATCAGGTAAGTGGGACCCACTGGGTCTGTAATCCAAATCCTCACTGTTATTTAGCAATGAGAGCTATGTGGTCAGAATTTTCAGAGAATGCTGCAGCTGGACGGGACTAAGCCATCATCTGGTCCAGGACTCCGTGCAGAGCAAAGGACAAGGGCCCCAACAAAGGAAATGAGTTTTGTAAGACTAAGGGGTGTTTCCCAGCCCCGAGCTCTTCCCTATCCTACTCTGCTCTTCTTTGCTTTCTGGTCCATGAGCTCCCTGACTTTTGTATTTCATGAGACAGTGAAATTTTCCTCAAAACATTGGGAATCATGCCTTAGAGTGTCCAACTTTTTATTCAGCTGGTGAAGATGACTCAGAACACCTACCATGTATCATTAGTATCTCTTTATGACAGAGAGAACATTTTAGCCCCCAAATCTTAAGACAAACATAATCGTAGAAAAGTGTCCAGTATAATGGATAAATTTAGCTTTAGAGACAAAAGCAAACACACACCAAGAAAACCTCACCGCCGTGCCCGTATTCCTTTTGTTGTACTTCGGAGAAGTGACAACTTCATCAAAGCCAGACCAGGCCTGCAAAGCAGCAGTTGAGAACCACTGTTCTAGGCAACATCTTGACTGGCCTTTGGGATCCATTATCTCCCCCTTCCACTGGGCTCTCCAACCCAGGCCTAACTGCAGGCAAATCCTTGGTAGGAAGAGTTTAGGTTTCCACACAGAGAAGACCTCAGGACGGAGATAAGCCACGGTTAGAAGACATTCCCAAGCCCCACCCCACTCCCCAGCCAGAAACTCAAGAGGCACCCCTGCCCAGAATCCATTCCATTTGACTGCATTTTCTGCAGTCAGGGCTGGTCCCATTGGCATGTGTGCACGCAGACACACAGAGCCCTTCCCCCAGGTGTGGCTCCTGGTGTAATGCTCTAGCGAGAGTACTTGAAATTCTTGGGCAAGCAGCCCTGGGTTTTAGTACTGTGCGTCCACAAATTACGTAGCTATCCTGCCCGCTGGAGTCCTGAAGATAATCCTTCGGGGCACTGGGAACAGACTCACACTTAGGAGGCAGATGGCTTTGGGCATCGGCTACAGTGCCAAGGCTCATGCAAAAATATTCCTGGAACTGTGGAAGCTCCTAACCACTCAAGATACAGTGGGTTAGTCCACATTCTGTAGGGCTCAGGTCAGCCACTTTTTTAATGTGGACAATCAACATAATCTCTTCGAGACTTGGTTTCTCCTCTCCTGTCTCAAAAACTTATTAGTAAAGGAATGCATATGTCAATTCAATCAGCCTAAAGCCAGGCGCCTAGGAAATAATCAGTAATAATAATGAATATTTAATATAACTGAGCTTACTTCCATTCCTTTTCAGCATAAATCCAACCAAAGGGGTAATGGGGGGCAAGGCACCTGCGCGTGGATGTGTGCATATGAGAGTATGT